TATGTACCCCTGGATTTGATCTGACCCATGCCATACTACCTGGACCTTACCCCTACAATGTTTGTATACAGTAGCTTTTTCCCTGTGCCCCTTTTGCAAAAAAAAAAATTAAAGGTTTTGTTGTCAACTTTTTCCTAGGCATTTGAGAGTTTTAAAAAAATGGTAATATCAAAGTTTTCAAATACATGCATAGAAGAATTGTAACCATCCCTTAACCTTGGTAATGTAATTTAACTATGGTAGGTAGTTATCGACAGCTGTAACAGTCCTTAGAAAAGGGCCTCATGCTTACGCAAGTAGAGGGCCATCAACTAAAGGAAAACCTTCAGGAGATGGATTGACACGGTGGCTGCAACAGAGCGCTCAAACGTAGCAGTTGTGAGGACGGCACAGAACTCGCAGTGTCTGAGTCTGTTGAGCATTGGGTGCTGAGTCAGAACTAACTCAATGGTACCTAACAACAACAACAACAACAATTCTAATTTTTGTGTGTCTAATTCACCACATTTCCTACCAAGTGAAAGGTTAAATCACTATTTTTAAACTTTGTGAGAGGGGAAAAAAACAGGTGAAAAGGGAAACTATTTTTTACAATATGTTGTAACTGTTGAATGGAGGAAGGGAGTTTCTTCATGAGTTTCTTCATGCTTTGTGCTTTCCAGAGTTAAGAGCTCACTCAGTTGCCTGGTCACGATCCCTGAAACATGTTTCTCTAAAATGTTTAAGTCGAATGAAAATATATTGAGTGCTTATCATTTGCCAGCCATCAGACTAAGAACTCCAAATGTTGGTAGATGCTACTGAGTGAGATCCATGCATAGTGACCTTACGCATGCCATCCTCCACATAGTCCCGAGCCTGAGCCCACTGTTGCAGCAGTGGTCTCAATCAATCTACGTATTTTAATCCTCACCCTTGTCAAGCACTCACAGGCATCAAGTGGATTCTGACCCATAGTGACCCTAAATGACAGAGTAGAACTGCCCCCGGGATTTCCAAAGGGGTAAATCTTTGTTGCTAGTGCCATTGAGTCGGCTCCAACCCATTGTGACCCGATGCACAACAGAAGGAACTCTGCATGGTCCTGGGCCATCCTCACAATGTTTTCTATGTCTAGACCCATTGATGCACTGCATCCATCTTTCTCATCGAGGGCCGCCTTCTATTTCACCTCCCTTCCACTAAGAAACATGATGTCCTTCTCCAGGGACGGTTTCTCCTGACAATATGCGTGATGTATGTAAGACGAAGTCTTGCCATCTTTTCCTCTAAGGAATACTCTAGCCAT